AAATAAATAAATAAATAAATAAATAAATAAATAAATAAATAAAAAGATTTAAAAACTCAAGTTGTGCCACATGATGTGAGTTTGTAGGAATCAGCATAGGTCTGACATTATCCTCAGCTGTGCAGGTGGGGAAAGGTTTTGGTAAAAGCATGTGTAGTTGACCCAAGTCCTGCTGGACAGGAATAGGAATTCAATATGGGGAAAGGGGGGTGGGAAATAGTTCATTACAAAATACGTAAGTATGGATTAAGCCAAATATGGTGGTGCATATCTGTAGAATCAGTACTGGGGAGGCTAAAGCAGGAGGCTTGCAGCTTAGAGGCCAGTAGGCTACACAGCAAGTGCCAGGTCAACCTGAACCTATGTAGTGAGACCCTGCCTTGAAAATGCAAAAGGACAAAGAAAAGGATGATCAAGACTTAGTCCAGGGCTTGGTGAGATGGCTCAGCAGGTAAAGGCACTTGCTGCCAAGCCTGGTGACCTGTTTGATTTCCTAGGATCCACGTACTAGAAGGAGAGAACTGACTCCTGCAAGTTGTCTTCTGACCTCCACACATACAATATGGCATGCACACGTGAGCACACAATAAATAAATAAATAAATAAATGTTAAAAAAAAGATGCCCTAGTGAGCCAGCCTTACTCTCCTGCCAACAAATCATTAGTGAGTCAAATACAATTTAACTGATTTTAGCCAGTTTATGCAGGGTGTCATTATTAACAGTAAATTTTATTTATTTATTTTGAGATAGGGTCTCCCTTTAGCCCCAGCTGGCCTGGAACTTACAATGTAGACCAGGCTGGCCTCGATCTCACAGAGATCTGTCTGATTCTGTTTTCCAAGCTGGGATTAAAGGTGTATACCACCACACCCAGCTATAATTGTTTTTTTTTTTTTTTTTTTTTTTTTTTTGGCCTTTTTGAGACAGGGTCTACCTGTAGCCCCAGCTTACCTGGAACTTGCTATGTAGACCAGGCTGGCCTCAGACTCACAGAGATCTGCCTGCCTCTGCCTCCCAAGTGCTGGGATTAAAGGTGTGCACTACCACACCTGGCTATAATTTTTTTTAAATGTATTTATTTGTATGTATATGAGTGTTTGCCTGCATGTATGTGTGGATATTTGCCATGTGTGTGCAGTGCCCACAAGTGGCCAAAAGAGGGCATCATATCACCTGAAACTGAAGCTTTAGACATTTCCTAGTTGCCATGTGGTGCTGGGAACCCAACCTGTGTCCTCTGTAAGAGCAGCCAGTGCTCTTAACCACTGAGCTATCTCTCTAGACTCCCAGTAATTTTGACAAAAAGAAAAAAAAATTTTTTTTGAGTTTTACTGTGTTTTCAGATTTGTGAAATTAAGTTATAGTATATAGACTTTGACTTCTGTATATGCAAAATATTGAGGACTGAAAATTGCTTATGAAAACAGTTGACTTTAAATGGGACTAGAAATAAGTACTATGTAAAATATCTGTACAGTTGGTCACATTAATCTGATGTATGTAGTCTCCATTAGGTACTATATGTGCAAACTGTACTATATGTTTCTATAAATAGTGTGAATTATTACAAAACTAGTGCTGAGGCCCAACTTTTCTTTTTTTAAGACAGGAGCTCCCTATGTAGCCAAATTCTTCTGTCTTGACCTCTTGAATGCTGGGATTACACATGTGAGCAACTGCTTGCCTGTCCACTTTTACATTCTAGTTATATATCATTATGGTTTCATATTTTCTTGAGATAATCATTAGTCTATCCTCGTTTAAGAAGTTGCAAATTAGAAATTGATTAGTATCACTGTTAAAAAGAGTAAGACTAGAAATCTCAGTTACCCTAAACAGGATGGTAATGTGAATTACCAGCACATAGGACTGAATGTCTAAACTGTTACAAAACAATTCTGTTCAGTCTATTTGATTTCTTCCGAGGCACAGCCTTCCAGGTGCTTATTTTGAGGTATTTAGTACTGTATGTGATTCTATATGGAGAGTGTACATAATGCAAGCAAGTTTGATTACATAGTGTTTACATCAAAACATAGCTTAATTTGTTGGTATCCTTTCAGGGGTTTTCCAGTCATTAAAACCCGTGATTTATCTACTCACCTGCAGGTATGTATTTTTCATGTTTATAACATATAAGGAATTACAGTAGGAAAAGTACAGGGTCATTCTCTGTGCCTTTTAAACTGACTAGAGCCTTATAAAATTGATTTCCCTCCCTGAAGTAAATCTATTTAAGCTTTCCAGACTGCTGTCCTAATGCCATGATACAGTTATGTATATGACACACACAGAAAGCCTGGGGGTTTCATCTTAGACATGCTGTTTCTCTAGTCGATAAATAAGCTGATACAAAAAAATTTGGCCATTATGTCTTATTATCATGGAGGTGATTACTTAACACTGTACAGATTTTCAAGAACTGTTGCTTTGGGGTACATACATATATACATACATACATACATACATATTGAAGTCTTAAGGCTGGGGCAAAGCAGTAAGTGCCAGTGTGTGGTTTCTCAGAGCCTTTCTTCTTCATAATGAACCGTAAATATCCCCTGTCTTCCTGTCTCACAATCTTAGAGCAAACTTATTCTGTCTCAGGGCTGGGTTTTCTCTCCCAGTCATTCAGGGATATTCTGCAGGTTCTCTGAGATGAGGAGAAGAGCACCTTAAATGCTGTCACCCTGGGTGTCAGTACTGACCCTATACACTAAAGGGTTTGGGTACCATCTCATTCTGCCATTGAGGATTTACATATACTGCAGGGTTTGCTGTTTATGGTGACTTTCCCAGCACTCAGCTTCAATTTGTATATTTTTTAGAAGGATTGTGACCAAGTCAGCTTTTAAGTAGTGAGTTACCTCTGATGGTGGACAACATACCAGTGCTACTGAAACTTGACAGAAGACTAGTACTTACTACACTAGTTTTGACTGAAGGATGAGGAGAAGATGAGGTTATGGTGGATCACTTTCAGTTGTATGTTTGTGGTTTATTTTAAAAACCATCCTAGTGTTTATTATATTTCAGTTTATTGACATTAAAGTATTCTGTTCATTCTTGATCTGTCCCCTATTGATGGATTTTCCTTTTAAATATTGTACTTCCACACTCTTTGTCTCGTGTTGAAGAATAAATTTCTCATCTTCAGTATAAAAATATTAAAATTAACCTGAACAAAGATTGTTTAGTCAAATAATATGGGCAATTCCAAACAGTAGTCATAGCTGTGCATAACAGAATTCTGTGTAGTACGACAGCAAGAATAAGTGGAGTTTCCTGGCACTCATTGTTTATGCTAAGGAGTAGGGAAAAGCATCTGTAGATAATAACTTGATACTGTAGAAAAGCCAGTTTGATTAGATGTCCTCTGGTATTTAGTATTTGGTTTATGTTATTAATAAGTCTGTTCTCTTTTATTTAAGCAAACAGATTTTCCTGTAACTGTGACAGTAGAGAGTCCTTCATCCTCAGAAATTGAAGAGGTTGATGATTCTTCAGAAAGTGTTCATGAAGTGCCTCAGAAAACCAGTTTAAAACAAGAAGCATTACAGGTACAGAGCTATCACTTTCAAGATACAGAGATTATTTCAAACTCATTTGCCCTTGGTGGAAGCTTGATTCTGAAACAGCCCTAGGCAGTTCATTGGAATTCTGTTTGCCTCTCTGTTCTAATGCTTATTCCATTGAAGAGTTCCTTATCTTAGAACCAGATGAGAGGAGGATGTGTATACTTTACAAAATAAAAGGATGGCACCATTTTTTCCCCTCTTAGAATATTAGGAGAACCTTAATGATCATAAAATAAATTTAAGGAAATTGAGTACTGTCATGTAGTCGATTTGCATATGGAAACCAGAGGACAGCCTTAACTGTCATCCTCAGATGCCATCCACCTTGGAGTTTGGGATGTTTCTGTTTGTTCGAAGGCCAGGAATTTGATAGTGCTAGCTGAACATTCTAATGAGAAAAATAGAGCTTTTTAAGGAAAGTATAGTTGATAGAAAGGGTTTTTGTTATGTTTTGTTTGCTTTTTTATTTTTTTTGAGACGGAGTCACATATAGCTCAGGCTGTCCTTGAACTCACTACTAACCTCAGTCTGGCCTTGAATTCCTGATCACCTCCCATGTGAGCTACCATGCCTGGCTTTGAAAATAAAGTTTTGATACTGATATTTTCCTTTCACAACATAAAAAATTTTAGAAACTACATGATACTACTTTAAAACCCAGCATCTAATGTCATTTCATTTTTTCTGTGTGAGCAAAAAGAATTTTCACAACAATTTTTTTGTGTCTTAAACATGCTTTTTATTTAGGCTTTAATGGGAAACTGATAATGTCTATATTGTTTAGTTTCTGGAAGACCTTGTCTTTTAAGAAGCCTTTGACTTTTTTGTGTGGTCTATGTGAGTCTAAGATGAAGGTGCCAAGTAGGTTTGTGTCTGGTGAGGGCCTGAGTTCTAGTTACAGATGTCAGCATCTCAGAATGTTGTTACATGGGTGAAGGACACAACCATTTTTTATGTGATTATAGAAATCAGTATTTGATTCAAATTTTTTAAAAAGTCATTTGAGGATTTAGTTTAATGGTAAACCCCTTGCTTAGCCCTGGATTTGATTCTCATATATATATATACTGGGTATGTGGTGGCATACGCCTTTAATCCTAGCACTTGGAAGGCAGAGACAGGAGGATTTCTGTGAGTTCCAGGCCAGCCTGGTCTACATAGTGAGTTCCAGGCCAGTTAGAGCTACAGGATATCCTTTCTAAAAAAAAAAAAAAAAAATTATAACACTTATATAGAGAAATCTTAGTCACTAACAGAATTATAGACTCTTGGGGAGGAATCTGTGTAGAACATATGACAGCCCCTTTTATCTTATAAATGAACACCTATAGTACCTGGTTTTTAAAGCACTTGAATTGATTTATTTGTAAGTTGTGAAGTAAAAAGTCCTTGATCAGTGTGTTGTGCTCATTTCCCTCACAAAGTTTCTAAGAGAAATTGGCTTTTGTGGGTTTTTTATTTCTTTCTGTTACTTTCTTTGTTTGAAATGCTGTGGAGCATGCTTTGTGCATGTTTTAGGCATGCCTTCTACTACTGATCTCTGCCCCCAGCTCAGGAGATTTGTGTCTAAAAGTGGTTATGGCCATGGGGAAGATCAATTAGGAACTATAGCCACAGAATTTCTCATTCACAGTGTGTTGAGGACACTCTTGGCTTTTTTTTTTATTTTGAGAATTAGCTAAAATGATCTTTCTCTTTTAAATTCATTTATTTTTATTTTATGTGTATAAGTGTTTTCTCTATATGTATATAAATGTACCTGTGCAAGTAATGACCACAGCCAGAAGAGGGCATCAGATCACCTGGAACTGGAGTTGGTAGATGATTGAGAGCCACCATGTGGGTTAGGTGCTGGGAACCGAACCTGGTTCCTTTGCTCACTGCTCTTAACCACTGAGCCACCTCTCCAGCTCCTAAAGTAGTCTTTTAAGAGAAACTTTAGGCATGCATGTGGCACACGTACATACATGCAGGCATAACATGCAGGCACATAAAAAGAATAAAAAGAAATTAAAAAAAATACTTCAAATGTGTAAGCTCACAATAAAAAGATGAAATTCTAACCTATTTGAAAGAGAAGATGGAAGGAAATGTAACTGATCCAGTACAGCATAGGAAGTCATCACTTAGAATAAGCACCGAGATAGCCCCTAGCTCTGAGGGAACCTAATTCTCCCTGTAGAAGCTGTTCCGTGCTCAGCTGTGCATGCCAGAGGAAAGACTGAATCAGAAATATAATTAAATAGGGGTTGTCTCTTGATGGCCTATGGGAGGTACTGGGAAGTTGTAGAGTTCGTTGGTAATTACATGAGCAGTCTCTGACAGCTTTGTCCTTTGCACATTTTGGCATATCTGTATTTTATAGTTAAAAACCTGTCTAAGGAAATTTTGGCTTCCCTAAAGGACTGAATGTCTGAATGGGGAGGGGAGACTGTTTATTCATACCCTGTCTATAGTAATTGCATTCATATGTTTATTCACTTAGCATTGAGCAGTCATATATCCAAGCATTCTTCTGAGTTTTATTTATTAATTCACTTAATTATCATGAATTTATCTCAGTTCTATAGAAGAGAAGAAAACCAAGGCCTGGAGTTACTGAATTTGTCAGCTAACAGGCCAGGACTTTGCCCAGAGTATCTTCAGGGCTTCTATTGTTGCTTGGTCTTTTTGAGACAGGGTCTTCCTGTAACCATAGCTGGCCTGGAACTAGCTATGGAGACCAGGCTGGCCTCACAGAGATCCACCTGCCTCTGCCTCCCAAGTTCTGGGATTAAAGGCATGTGCCACCATGCCTGGCAAAAATCTTCCAGATTTTTTTTTTAAACGAAAACCAAAATTTACTGAGTAGTAAGCAAAGAAATGGAGATTCAAAGAGGAGAGCAAGCTTCCACCTGTTCTTAACCATGTGTCTTCAATACATATGGCCAGGGCTTTTTCCTTATCCAACCTTTATTGCCTGTTTACTTTGACTAGGCACAGGAGGTAGTAGGGATAAATGCTTAATAAAACATGTTCCTTTCCTTCAAACACTTACATGAGAAAGTAAGCCAGTAGTTATAGTAGAGCTGATATATCCAAGTGGTAGGCTGTATTGCTGGCAACAGTATTAAATTTCAGAAGCGCTGGAAATATGTTAGAATGTAAATATTTCAGTGCCTCAAAAATGTTCATTTGGGGGCTGAGAGATGGCTTAGCAGTTAAGAGCACTGACTGCTCTTGCAGAGGACCCGGATTTGGTTCCCAGCACCCACATGGCAGGTAACAACCTGGAACTTCAGTTCCAAGGGGAGTCGATGATATCTTCTGACCTTTGTGGACATTGTGTGACATAGGTGCACTTACATACATTCAGGCAAAACATATATAAAATAAAAAAATCTTTAAAAAATGTTCTTTTGGTGCATACCAAGACTCAGGAGGCTGAGGCTTGAACTACATGATGAGACACTATCTCAAAACACAACAAAATAAAACAGCTCACCATGGTGACATGCCTTTAACTCAGCACTTGGGAGGTAGAGGCAGGGCATATCTCTGTGAGTTCGAGGCTAACCTGGTCTCCATCCTGAATTTCAGGCCAGTTGTGGCTACAGGGAGACCCTGTCTCAAAAAGGCAACAACAATAAAAAAAAGTGGAGAGAAGGATCATTTAAAATGTAACATGTCTGACTCCCTCCACTAGAGGGAGAAATTTTCATGTAATTGCACTTGACTCTGCTGTTGAGAGCTAGTCGAAAATGTGGGGATTGGGGCTGGAGAGATGGCTCAGCAAGGGTAAGAGAACTGGCTGCTCTTGCAGAGGACCTGGGTTCAGTTCCCAGCACCCACATGGCAACTAACAGTGGTCCATAACTGCAGTTCCAGGGGATCCAACACCCCCTTCTGACCTCCACAGGCATTGCGCATCAAGGGTGTACTTAGGTGCAGGCAATACACTCATACATATAAAATAAAAAAATATTTTTTTATGTGGGGACTGCAGTGAGATTGTCATCCATGATGGGTGGGACTTTGCTGTGATGCAGCTCTTTTAAGGTCACACAGAGTCCTGTAAGGAAGCCCAATAAGCTCACTGGCTTGAAAAAAATGGGTAAGTGTAATCTCCTTTCTCTAATTGTGCCAAGAACTTCTTATTTACATCATTGTTTATAATTTCTATGGCATCGGTTTAAAATGTTAAAACCATTACGTGAATAATAAATACAGGACTTTTGTGATTTCCTCCTTTCCCATAAAGACTTGGTTGGTTTTAACACTGACTGAAAATATTTGGTATGGGCCGGCAAGATGGCTCTGTTGGTAAAGGTGCCTGCTGCCATTTATGATGACCTGAGTTCAATACCTGGGACCTATGTGGTATATGTCGGCACACATGTGCCATGGTCTAAGAGGTCAGTAGATAACTTAGATTGTGGCACATGTGTGCCACACACACACACACCACACACACACAAAAATGTAATTTTTAACGTACATGTTTTGTTTACTATTATATGATCAGCCACTCAAAAATAATGGTTTATGACAAGTTGTTTATTTTATTCATGAGCCTGGGCGTGTATAAATTGTTACTACACATTGGATTGCTTTTAAACAGTACCTATTTATGAGCTCACAGTGCCAGAGCATTCATCCAGATTAAGACTTGACTGAGATCTCTGTTCAGGTTTTTATAGAGCTGAAAGTAGGGTGTGGGCCAGGCTATGTTACCACCTGCCTGTCCTGGGTAAGAATTCAGCTCTTGTAGTAGGACTGAGGGCCCATTTCTTTGCTAGTTGTCAGTCAGGAGATCCCCTCATCTCGTCGAGGCCTCCTCTTCAAAGCCAGCAATGGAGAATTTCTCTGAACTCCTTTTTAGTAAAAATAGAACATGGTAGAAGTAGAAATCTTTTTCCAGGGAAGAGCCTGGTACTTTTTAGTAGATTGCTTGATGATGTCACTTACACTCTATCCTCATGTCACCTGCTGTAAAGACCTTAATTGCATCCCTTCACAGCAGCTCCTACATTAGTGCTTAAGTAATGGGGTTAGGGAGACACTGGAATGGTGGAGAAGCTTAGGCGCTGTTTTAGGATTTTTACCTAACACAATGTCGCCAGAGTTCTCTCGGGGTCTCTTGTGCTATCAGACAAACCATATAACATATCTTTATGAACATTTATTATTATTGTAGGGGAGGAGGGGAGTGACAACAACAAAATGAACACTCAGTGTCTAGCTCTGCACTACTGAGCTATGTGTGGTGGCAGCTCAGAGCCCGCCATATCAGATCGCTCCCATGGCATGCCCATAGTTGCTGCTAGCTTTCACCCACGCCTCAGGGGCATGGTAAGTGCCAGGCCGGTCTGTTCTTGAGTACCCCCCAGCTGCTGCATGTTCCTCATGCCTGCAGCCGCCCTTCCTGGTGGCTCACGGCTTTGGTTCCAAGATGGCGCCTCAAGCCCCTCCTTCCACGGCTAACTCTCCACAGTCAATTTTCTGCAGCAGGCCCTGCCCCTTGGAGGAACCAGGACCCCTGGGGAGTACACAGATAGTGACAGCCCCCATCAACACACACACACACACACACACACACACACACACTCTCTGTCAAAGACTATAGAGTCTCATTCCTGAAAATGGTAAGTTTGCCGGTGTACACTGTTTTCTTGATCTCAATGAAGAAGAAGGCTACCCCTTCTGTGACCAGGACTGGTATTCAACTTCCTGAATTCAAAGCCTGGCTTGACTACTTAACTAATGTTGGGTGTGGAACTCTGCTTCTCCTGCCTTGATGTTCTCGTTTGTAAAATGATGGAGTTACTATGCTTGTTCTTCTTGTAAGGTTTTAATGGTTAGGTTGGGTTAGGTAGTACTAGAAAACCAATGCTTAGACCAATGCTTGGCATACATAACGTGCTTTGAAAGTGTTTAATTTTGTAATATGCATTTTAGTTTGTAGTTACATAATTCAGGTGTGTTAAGCATGTTATAAATTTCCTATTATGAAGAACCACAAGAATAGAATAAAAGTTTCTTTTCATGGCTGTTAATATTTTATTTGTGGTTCCCTAACTTAATATGCATACATGCCTTTTGTGGTAAGTGCTACAAATGAGAGTTGGAAAGAGTGAGATTTATATAAATCTGTAATGTGCTGATTTGATCTGTTTTAGAAATTAACTTCACTAACATGGCACGATAGGCAAATCATCCCACTGTGTGAGCTTCCTTCTGCCTCTGCCTAAGTGCTTAGTGGAGTATGTAGCTACTAGAGATTGCAGGGCCACAGTGTGTGTTAATTACTGTGTTATTCCACATCCTAATACTAGGAAAAACTGGAGGAGTGCCTGAAACAGTTGAAGGAGGAAAGAGTAACACGGCTTAAGGCTGACAAGCGTGTCAGTGAGGTAAATAAGTCTTTTTCTTGTGTTTTGAGAGTTGTTTTTTAGTTTTGTTTTATTTTAAATCATGTACACATAAACTTTAACATTTTCAGAGTGATATAGTGTATTGTAAACTGAGTTGCACCATTTTAACCTTACATTTTATTGTCATGATTATATTCTAAAAAAGTATGTAGCAGACCCTCTGTGAGTTCGAGGCCAGCCTGGTCTACAGAGTGAGTTCCAGGACAGCTGGAGCTACAGGGAGACCCTGTCTCAAAAAGACCAAAAAAAAAAGTAAAAATTTGAAGGGTAAAAAATTTTTAGTATAAAAAAGCACCCCCAGGCTGTCATATATTTTCTATTTACGAAATGTATAATAAATTAGGCTTATACTGTGTATATAATAACAAATGGTAATGAGACTGTGTTCTTAGAGTGAGTTAGGAAAATTAACTAATTTAAAGATGTCTCTGAGGTTGGGTGTGGTGGTTTGAGGGCATGGTGCCAACACTTGGAAGGCTGAGGCAGGGGGATGACTGCAGGTTCAAGACCATTCTAGTGAATTCAAAGCCAACCTTGACTACATGGCCATACTGTATCTTAAAAAAAAAAAAAAAAAACTTAAGGCAAATAAAAATATGAAGTATAAGATAATGGAAAGCTCTTAAGAATGCCATTAGAGGATAAAATCTGTGTACTGTGGGCAGTGAACTAATGTGCCTAGAGCTAGAAGATTTTATAAGTAGTTCCATACTGCAAAGTGAGCTTGAGGAAGAATCTTTGTATGTATTGTATTGAAGGACACTTGCTCATTCAGTAAATATTGAGCACTTGATTATGTAAGGCAAAAAATATATCATGAAAAATTGAAAAATTAGCCTTTCTGAGAAGCACCAGGGCTGGGTTTGATACAGTGTTGCCTGAGTAGATGGAGAGGGTGAGGAACGTGCAAGAGAATTACAGTACTCAAAAAGTTAGGGTGGCAGCTGTGGAGAATTGAGAATTAGTAAATTAACAAAGACTTTAAAAGGTGCATATTAAGTGTTCTGCTTGGGAGCTGATGAGACGGCTCAGTGGATAAAGACGTTGCTGCTACCCTTCCCTCCAGTTGTCCTCTGACTGCCACGTGCGTGCTGTTGCACATGGACATCCTTTATTAAGAAGTGTGAAAATATCAGTCCTTAATGGATTAATTATAGCAGAATTATACTTTTGCTCAGATCAGGCTGCTATATTAAGGTGAGCCTCAGGCAGCTAATTCTCTGTTATACAGTGATATGATATTTAGCTGGTTAGGAATGTGGAAAAATTATTAATAAAACAGTAACTTTTATTTATATACTATACATCGCATAGGAAATTTTCCCGAATGCCTCAGATAAAGATTGTTATGTGATATGCTTATTGTTTTTTATTGATTGAGGCCTTAATTATGAATTACTTACATTTTAAAATGCTTTACTCAGAAATTGTTTTCTTTAGATGACTGTGAAAAAAATCATATCGTATAATTTCAACCTTCTTTTGTAGCTCGAACAGGAAAATGCCCAGTTAAGAAATATAAATTTCTCCTTGTCTGAAGCCCTTCATGCACAGTCACTGACAAGCATGATCCTGGATGATGAAGGTGTTTTGGGCAGCATTGAGAATTCTTTCCAGAAGTTCCATGCTTTCTTGGATCTCCTTAAAGATGCTGGGTTAGTTTATTTCTTTGTAGGACAGTCTTCCTCAGTGATGTTAATAGTAACTTGCTGAGGAACTTGAATACCTTTCCTAGCTTCCACAAGACATATTTGTTGTGTAATTAACAACAGTAAATTTGATTTTTTTAAATGGAAAATTCATTTTAAAAGAAATACAGGACGGTAAACCTGCCTTTATGATGGGTAGAAAGCCCGTCATAAAAAAGTAAAATATAGTGCAGCAGGCCCTGCCCCTCGGAGGAATAAGTGTCCCTTAGGACACACTCCACCCCTTCCTGCGGCTCTTACACTCTTTCTGCCAATCTTCCGCTAAGGTCCCTGAGCCTTGGAGGGGGTGACAAGTGTAGGGTGATCTCTCTTATATCATGGCAAGATAAGAGACTCCTTGGGCCTCTGCATTATTCGTCTTTAGGCTGTGTCCACTGGTCTATCTCAGTGGTGTTTCTTCTACTATAAAGACAAATGGAAGGAAGTAGACACATTTAAACAAACATGAATGTAAATACAAATGCCTAGAGGATATCCCAGTATTTGTACTATATTCATCAAACAGTATGCTTGTAATGGCTTCCCCACTAGGGCCTGTAGCCTTTCTCAACACAAGGTTAGCCTGGTCTACAGCACCAGATGTATGTACCACCCCTAGGAATGGGCTTTATCCGATTAGAAATTTGTCAGTTGTACATATGTTGGTCAAGACATTATTGCACTTGCAGACAGTACTTGGCATTGTCCATACTGTACAGCATGTGGGGTCCATTGTTGAGTAGGTTCATAGCAGATCCTTTCTTCCCCAACCATCTGCATAGCGCCTTCTGGTACTGTGAACGTCACCCATCCAGTGGCATGGAGTTTTTGGCTTAGTCTCACCTCCATCATTTCTTTTCTTCCCATGCTCATGTCGTGCAGTGTCCTCAGCAATGTGGCCTTACTAACCTTTCTAGTGTGTAACCGACATTAGTGGTAATAGCCTTGGTGAATTTGAGGACCTCTAGGATCTCTCTCTGACCAACAGTTCATAGCGGGGCAACCCACCCCCGGTAATATAGATTTTCTTAACACTTGTGTAGTTTGGGAGCCTCTGTTGTCATCTTACCCAACCATAAAACTCCCAAGAATCCTACAATTATAGCTGGCCTTTGTTTCTTCAGGTATCTTTCAAATGGGTTTCACATCTGTAAAATACTTAGAGGAAGGTTAACATATATTAAATCAATCATAGATAAGGTCTGACATAGCATGGAAAGGTTTTATCCATTCGTATTATCTGTCTTTTTCCGAAGTCCTTGGACCTTACACAAGTTAAAATGTCCCGTTTTCTTTCTCTCTCAGGCTCTGCAACTTAATCTGCCAGCACCTCCCTGGCCTTTTCAGCTTCCCCCACTTGGGGTACATCTTTTATTATGCAAAGTGGCCACGCCCCCTCTCTGGTTCTCTACTTGTATCCAAGGCCTTTAAAAGTTTTTCTAGCTTTTCTATAACCTTTAACAAATTTTCTTATACCCATAACTGGGCTGTTTCCCCACATTTACAACACAGCTGTGGCCCACGCTTCTGCGTGTCCGGCTCCTTTTTAGTTACGTATTTTATAATCCATTGTAAGATCCATATCAGTGCTGCCATTTAGCTCCTTAGCTTTTTCCCAACTCCAGTGGTTTGTCATTCCTAGCACTGTCATCCTGCCAACTGTGCCAATTTGACGCCCAAGGTCTCTTAGGGTTTTTCCTGGCTCTGTTAGACAAACCATATAACACACCTTTACCTGAATTTTTCATAGCTTATATTCAAAGTAGGGGAAACAGAGTAACTTACAAAGGCTAACACTCGGGCACCTTGTTCTGCTCTGTGTCTCAGTGGCCTGGCCCGCCATTCCATATTGCCTCTGCGCCCCACCCACAGTCTCCCTTAGCTTTAGTCCATGCCTCCTGGGCCTGCGGTCTCACTCCAGGTCGGTAAATACCCCCTCTCGCGTCCACACAGGTGAGACACCAGGGCCATTTTTTTATGCGCCACTCGCTTCCAAGATGACCCCAGTGTTCCTCCCTCCGTGGCTAACTCTCCGCAGCTCCCTCTCCATAGCTAACTCTCTTCAACCAATTCGCCACAGCAGGCCCCGCCCCTTGGAGGAATAAGTGCCGGTTGGGACACACTTGGTAAAGACTAAATTAATGTTGGTTATATGAAATGCATCCAATATTTACGTGTATAAATGTTTTGCTTAAATGTATTTAAGTGCACCTGTGTCACGAAATGCTTACAGAGGTCAGAAAAGCGTGTCTGCATCAGAGTTCCCTAAAACTGGATTTAGGGACAGTTGTTAGCAGATGTGGGTCCTGGGAACTGAACCTCAGTCCTCTGCAGGAGCAGCCAGTCTCTTGCCCACTCTTCAGAATATATCCAGCTTTGTCTATTATAAATAACAGACAATGTGTTTTAAAAAATAAAGAGAAAGAAAAGACTAAGTTAAAGATAATTTTAGTTAAAAGAAATCAGAATATATAGGAGATTCTTTGCCTTTTACTTTGCCAAGTATGTTTGAATTATTTTTAAATATTTTTATTTTTAATTGTGTGTGTCTGTGTGAATATGTACATGTAAGTGCAGGTGCTTATCGAGGCCAGAGGCATTGGATCCCCTGGAACTGGAGTTATAGATGATTGTGAGCTGCCTGATATAAGTGGTGGAAACTGAACTCAGGTCCTCTGTAAGAGCTCTTAAGTGCTGAGCCATCTCTCTAGCCCCAAATTAAGTTATCTTTATTCCTAGACCTTAGAATGGTTATTGAGCTGCAGGGGTGATACAGATACAGGTGTAGGTCAGTGGTTTTCACCTTGGAGTAATTTTGCTAAAAGAAGATGCTAGACAGCCATGGTAGAGCATAACCTGTAATCTCATCAGTTGGCAGGTAGAGGGAGAGGAGGATCAGGAGTTGAAAGTAACCCTTGGCTTCATAAAAAATTTGAGGTCAGCTTGGGTTACATGAGACCCTGTCTCAAAAAACAAAAGATGCTGGATGTAGCTGATGGACCAGTGTTTTATAGGTAGATGAATGGGCTGGTGCTGAGAAGGAACCAAGACATTTGTGGAAACTGAGGGAAGGTGGTGAAATGCATGGGGCTAGCAGAAGTGGAAACTGCTGGTGGCTCTGTTTAAAATGAAGGAGTAAGCTGGGTGTGGCAGCACACGCCTTTAATCCCAGCGCTCAGGAAGCAGAAGCAGGTGGGTTTTTGTGATTTTATGGCTGCCAGCTAGGGCTACACTGAGACCCTGCTTCAAAAAAAAAAACAAAAAGGAAGGATGGATGCCATGAAAATAAAGTCAAGTGATATTTACTATATTATTGGGGAGAACAGGGAATGTGGAAAGGAGTAGATGACTGTCTGTGGTCTCAGCAGAAGTTAGGACGAGGTTGTTGTCTGGAGTAGGCCATTGACTTCTACGACTTCCCCGAATCCTAAGCATTCGTTTATGCACATATTTCCTGCTTGTAGCTGTGGGGAATTGATTATTAAGTGATTGTAGTGACCCTTGTCTTTTCCTCCTTTCTTCTTCATCGCCAGGCTTGGGCAGCTTGCCACAATAGCTGGTATTGATCAGTCAGATTTCCATGTACTAGGTCGTCCCCAGATGAATTCTACTGTTAGCAGTCTACCTTCAGAACAGAAAGCACTTGGAGAAGAACCAGATCTAAAGCAGAGTACTGTAGGACAGATGCAAAATATTCAGGTACGTGAACACAGTAGAACTTGATTTAAGAGTCATTAGTAAAGAGTTTTCCCAGTTAGAGAAATAATGATGCTCTCAATAGTGGTTCCTGAGTTGGTCAGGGCCAGAAGCCTCCTGGGGATTCTCTCCAAGTCTGAGAACAGTAAGTGTACCCATCTCGTCATACTGCATGACCATAAATAAAAACTGGAAGTTCTTTTGATAATTTATACTTCAAGCCAGTTATGCTCAGTGAAAGAAATGAAATATTAAAGAAAATGATCCAAATGTAAAATTTTTTAAATGCATATTTTATTCCTATTTCATCTAGGTCTCTATCTGTGTGCAGTCAGCTTACAATGAAGGGATGCTAATGAAGGTACAAGTACTAGTGCAGGGAGGTTTTTAACACAAGTAACCCAGATAAAAGGAGCAGTCAGTGCCCTACAGCCACCCAGTTACTGGAATGGCACCTCCTGCTGTTTTTCCTTTGCCTCACCTACAGCCCCATCTCCCAGCCTGTCTGGTCTTAGAGTTGACAGCTTATGAACTCAGCCCTCTAGCGTTGGATTCCTCTCATCTATGCATGGAGGCTAGAAAATTTCTTAGAGAACAGATTTGTTTTTAATCAGGGAAATGGAAAAATAAACATACAAAACTCTTAAAATATGGTACATCTAGCTCTAAGTATACCTAATTTTTGCATTGAGAATCACATGGCAGTATATAATTAGGAAAATGAGTAACAAAATCTGAGTAGTGAAGTGACTACCTAATGTTAAGATCACAGTTTGTATTGAAGTTTTGAACTCTTCTTATTAATGGATAGTGGCTTACTTTGTTCACTAGGACATTGCTTTTCTTCTAGTTTCAGAAAATTACAAATGATACTAGAATTCCTTTGCCTCTCGACTCCTTCCATGCTCCAGTTTCTACACAAGAGGCATCAGTAGCTTCAAGAGACGACCTAGGAGTTGCAGCCCCTGAGCATCGGGAGGAATCTTTCGAAGGGTTCATTGCCAGAACATGTTCTCCTGTAGCAGATAGGATTACTGAAACTGGGAATCAAAGAGAAGAAGCAATGTTGTCTAAAAATAGATCTTCAGAGAAAATGACCAGAACTAGTGAATCTACCAAGAAGCACTGTGCTAAGAAACACCCCGGGAGGGACCTGCGTTCTGACTCTGCCTCTACTGTGAACTCGAAAAGCAAAGGAGCCGGGGAAAGTAGGTCTGTAGTCAGTGAGCCAGTTAAAAGTGAGTCTTTGAAAAAGGCCATTTCTGCCAAGAAAGAGAATAGTGGCTGCCTCATCTAAGACAATGAAAAGTAAGCCAATGCTCTAGAACATTCTGAAAGTGACACTCTTGGATCTGATTTAGAATTTCAAGAAACTATCCATTCATCATCACACCTGACATAAATCTAATCTTTCAAAATTATGTTTTTGCCTTCAAATTTTAATAAATTTTCTTATGTTTTTATTATGCAGTGTCTTAAAACTCAGAACTTAAAAGCAATATAAGAGAAATTTATTATAGTGTTTATTTTAAAACAATGTTTTCTTTTTGCACTTTATGTAACTCATTCAGCAAACGTACAACACTTTATATGGTATTTTTGTGGGTGCTATGGCATTTACCCTCATGGAAATAATACTTTGTGAGGGAGAAAACAACAGTGAGGGGGAGGGGACTAGAAAGGAACGAGATGAAGAAATTGAATGGCTCGCCATAGATTGGATGTAAAAATGTGATTCACATGACTAGAAACCCGGCATATCCCAATTCCTAACTAGAGCAGCAGACATGTCCTAGGTCCTAACTGTGCTTAAAAAATTGCCACAGCTTTTAGTGGAGGATTTTCAAAGGCACAGTCTGTAAGAGCATGAACACACATCTGCCTGGTAAAACACAGATAAACTGGGTATAGTGGCACACTTAATCCCGTGTATTTGGAGAACTATAGACACAAGTTTATAGGCAGTGGCAAGTGATGTTCAAGCAGGTGGCGAGGAAGATCACAGAAGATGCTGCATGGAGCTGGTCTTTTACTCCAGGAAAACTGAACAAGAAAAATAAAACCACATGCTTGTGTTTGTACTTTTAGTTTTTGGTATTAGGGATCTTCACATTGAACCTCATATGCTGTTTGTTTGTTTTGTTTTTTGTTTTGCTTTTGTTCCTGGAGATTGAAGCCAAGGCCTTGTGTGTACTAGAGAAGCTCTATCACTGATACAGACACAACCTCCCTCCCTCCCTCCCTGCTCCCTCCCCACCTGCCCCCCCCCAAACCCCAATGCATTTTAGCTGGGATTTTAGGTTTATACCACTATACCTATAATTTGGTTTTGTTTGTTGTCTTCTCTGAGACGACCTCACTATGCAGATCTACCTGCCTTGGACCTGTGGCAGTCGTCTTCCTCCTCTTCTTGAGTGGATGGGATTACAGGCGTGAGCCACCACACCCAGCCTTATTTTTTGTTCTCCATATTTGTAATTCTTTTCCTTTTTTTTTTTGGTCTTTTTGAGATAGGGTCTCCCTGTAGCCCCAGCTGTCCTGGAACTCACTATGTAGACCAGGCTGGCCTTGAACTCACAGAGATTCCCCCCCCCCCATCCCCCGGCGCTTCTGGGATTAAAGATGTGCGCCACCACGCCCGGCCCTGTAATTCTTTTTTTTTTAATGTGTATGAATGTTTTGCCTGCATATATGTAAGTGCACCTATGTGTGCACTGTCTGCAGAGGCCAGAAGAGGGTGGTGGATGGCCTAGAACTAGAGTTAGCCTGCTATTGGCCACCAAGTGGGTGCTGGGAACTGAACTCAAGACCTCTGTAAGACCAGCCAGTCCTCTTAACCACTGAGCCATCTCTCCAGCCCACATATTTGTATTTTTATTGCAATAGTTTTAAATTATAAAGCAGTAATTTTAGTTTCTCTCTCTCTCTCTCTCTCTCTCTGATGTATGTGTAGCACTATCCTTGTACCACTCTGCATGTATGGAGGTGCATGTGTGGAGATCCGACAATTGTGTGGAATTCGTTCTCTGCTTCCACCATGAAGGAAGGGACTTATGTAAAATAAGTCCCAGGGATCAAACTCAGGTCATTAGATGTGCATAGTAAATACTTTGACCTGCTGATCAAGCTCACCTGCCATGAAATAATCTTGAAATGATGTGTATATGTGTACATGCTTTTAAAAAAGACTGCCCTAGCTAGGCATGTTGGTGGAGCACACGTTTAGTCCCAGCATTCTGGAGGCAGAAGCAGGCAGATCTCTGAATTGAAGACCAGCCTGATCTATATAGTGAGTTCCAGGGGCTACAAAAAGACCAAAAAAAAAAAGAAAAGAAAAGAAAAAAAATACTGCCCTGAAAACAGAGCCTTGGGTATGAGGCTGTTTAGCTTCAAATTCTTCCACTTGTGTCTTCCTTCACACTTACACTCTCTGCTTCCTTTAGCTGTATATAATCATTTTTACATATTTTTCAAGGTGACCTATCTGTATCTGTTTCTCAGATTCTCTTATTACTAATTTCATTAATTTCCTATTTGCATTTTCACTGGTATCTGTAGGTAAGCCACCTCAGATTCATTGAGAAACTCAATCTACATCATCACCTCAATCTGTTCTGTTGAGTTAGTCTCAAGTAGTGCGGGCTGGCCTTGAACTTACTCTGTAGTCCAGGCTGCCCTTGAGCTCATGGCAGTTCTGCCTCCACCTCCCAAGTTAAATTCCTTTTTGGAGAACAGAAACAATCTTAGGGAAAAGCTGAGGTTTGTGGGAGATCTCGCCTTGCCCTTGACTGGGGAGAGTTACTGCTGGTCCGCCTTTTCTTTTCCCTCATTACTGTCTCTGTTCTGGATTCCTGGTATTCCATCTGCCCTCCACCTCTATAGCTCCTGCTGTTCATGGGCCAGGGGAGGGGGGAGGCAGAAGCAGAACCTAACTCTGTAGTCCCTTGGGATTTTTTTGTTGCTGTTTTTGCTTTTTGAGACTCACTATGTAGCCCTGCCTGGCCTAGAACTCACTATGTAGACCAGACTGATCTGGAACTTAAGAGAGCCACCTCTTTCCGCCTCCCAGAGTGCTGAGATTAAGAGCGTGTACCACCCTGCCCAGCCTCACTTGAGATTTTTTTCTGCTTTTCCTTTTGTTGTTACATGTGTCTGAAATAATACTATTATTAGGTTTTACTATTCCTGAAATTAAAGTCAAACCTAAGTCTGCAGCTTGGAGGTTAAGTTTTTTCCCCTTTGTCCATTTCTCCTACTTTCTCTTTAATTAACATGTGTCTAAATTACAAAATGTCTATTCCTGAAATTCAAACATTAAGAGCATGATTTGTTTCTGTGCTATGGTTGCACTTGAGTAGTTCTCAAGCAGGTGATTAAAAAGGTAAACACAAAATAAAGGCAGGAACACCAGACTTCTTTTTAGTATTATTTTATGTGTATGAATGTATTGCTTGCATGTATGTAAGCGCACCCATGTTGTGCAGTGCCACAGAAGTCAGAAGAGGACGTCGGAGCCCCTGAAACTGGAGTTAGGCCAGTTGTTAGCTGCCGTGTGGGTGCTGGGATTCAAACCTGGGTCCTCTGCAAGAGCAGCCAGTAGCCAGTATTCTTAACCACTGAGCCATCTCTCCTGCCCTAGGATACCAGACTTTTATCCAGCCAGGAAATAAGCTCCTTCCTGAATGAGGACTCTTTCCATAACCCTTGCTTGGCTGTGTCTCCTATCTTTAATTTTTTTAAATTTATTTTTGTCTCAAGTGAGTGTTTTGCCTGCATGTAAGTGTACCACATGCACGCAGTGTCTGTCGGGGCAGGAAGAGAGCATCGAATCCCCCTAGAACTGGAGTTCCAGACAGCCACCATGTGAGTCCTATGAACCAAACCCAGGTCCTGTGGACGAGTAGCCAGTGCTCTTAACCACAGAACCATCTCTCCAGCCCCCTCTTCTGTCTAAAATGTCTGATCAGCTCAAGTTGAACAATTAAAAAGCCGTTAGGGGGCTCTCCAACCAAACTTTCTAGTTCTCCTGGCTATTTATGAACCACTGACATCGGAATGAAAAACTAGAAAGTAGTGAATTTTTTTAGTAGTAAGGTAGGAAAGAATATACTTTCTTACCTCCTGGCTGGCTTATATGAATACTTTACTGGAGAACAGGCTTTGGGCTGGGTGTTTTCAGGTTCTTGATGTCTTATTCAAGAATGAAGTAAAAATCCACACAGATTGCAGAATAGCAAGGAAACATTATTCAGAACAAGATCTGAACACACTGCAAGAGAGCAACAGGCCTTGTGAGTGAAAACACTCGAGCGCCCCCAATATCGTTTGGGCCTTTTTTATATGGTGTTCAAAGAAGAGGAGTTTGTTTACTCTAGAGGTGTAGTTTGGATGGTTCTCTTGTTTTGATTGACAGGCTTGGATTACATGAGCCTTTGCTCTCTGCACATATCTCTTCCATAAAGCATCTGATTTTAATGATATATACCCAATTATGCATAGGCATAAGATGATAAATAGGGTGTTTAAAGTTTACTTGGGAATACAGTTTTGCCTTATTGTGCATGCTCCCAAAACCAGATTGGACGGGATTGGCCCTCCTACCCTCAGACCAGGATGTACTGGGAGTATGTTTGAGAAGGCACTTGCTACCAAAAACTCAAGTCTACATGGTAGAAGGAAAGACTCCTGCAAATTTGCCTCTGATCACTCATGTCCCTCCTACCCCCCCCCACACATACATACATACAAAATAAGAAAGTGTAGCTTTTTAAACATGTAAAAAAATATATAGATGGGAGAAATTAATGAAAGGAGAAATCAAAAAAAAATTTTAATGCAACTAAAAGGACTTTAAATTACTGGCCTGGCAAGATATGCCCACTGGTGCAATAGTGGCATGAGTATTAATGAGAGTAATTAACCACTCTGATTGGATTTAAGGTCTATGCCATAGGATGGAGCCCATACCTGACACTGATATCAGGCTAAGGAAACAGGTTAGACAGCTCACAGGACATAGGGGAGAGCAATACGACTTTCCTATTAAATAGTTATATTAAACTGACTGTTTCCTAATGACTTACACCCATAGATTCATGTGCCCCTCATCTCTCACCAGGGAAATTTCCTTATGCAGCAGATGATGATTAACAGAAACCCACAACTGGCCAACATGCAGAGAAGATCTCTGAATAAGACACCTATATCAAGCTTCTGCCTCCCAAGGACTCTTAACAATCTGGACCTTGGAGGAAAACCTTAGCTTATCTTCCTTAGTTTGAGGTCTCAGAAATCTATAGCAAACAAACTTGTTAAAAATTCTATCTCAAAAGACAACAGCACTAAAAGCATAGATGATCGAAAATAGGACAAAGTTGATAAATACATTTTTTTTTTTTTTAACCAGAAATCCAAGCTGGTCTGCTGGCTTCTACTACTACGACTAAGAAAACTTAGCAGGAAAGCCTTGCATAACAACACCAATATCTGAAGGTTTTGAATGCACAAGCAATGACCATTTGGAATGTGTGGAGATAATAGATCACCATTCACAACATCTGCAAAAAAATACAGTGACATACACCTTTAATCCAGCACTTGGGAGGCAGAGGTGGTAGATCTTTGAGTTCAAGGCCAGCCCGAGCTACATAGTTTCAGGCCAACTGGAGCTAAAAAAAAAAAAGAAAACCAAGGTTCATAGAAAATAAATAATCTGTGGGAGGTATGCCAGATATGAGAAGACCTAACATCATAAATACGTCATACCAGATTGTAAATTCAAAGCAATCTCATACTGTTGCAACAAAATGTTTAAGTGGATATAACAGTTTGATTATATTTTTCTGGGGGCGGGATGGAAAGATGGCTTAGTGGTTAAGAGCACTGGTTGTTCTTACAGAGGACCTGGGTTCGATTGCCAACACCCACATGGCAGCTAACAATGGTCCTTAACTCCAGTTCCAGGGCATCTGATGACCTCTTCTGACCTTTGCGGGCATTGCACAACACCTGTCTACATGCAGACAATACACCTATACATATAAAAATAGCGTTTATCTGGAATATTCAATTTTGATTAGATACCACATCAGTGTAGCTGGGATGTGCTGTTGGCACAGAA